GGAATCCTAAGTTGTTCCCCACCATCGTTTTCCAAAGCCGCTTCCACGAGTTTTGTATAAGGACTGAGTTCAATCCTCTTTAGTGTTGTTTCTCTCTTTTTCCCCCTTTTTGTTGAGCATGATCACAATTGAACCCAAATCCATGGGTATCCAACCTAATTCGATCCAGTCAAAGCGACTTGAAACAGACTTTAGCATTTATAGATTTCTTTTTTCTTCTTCTTTTGGTTGGGAAGAAAATTGAACCTGAATCTAAGGTTTTGATGAGCATTGTATTGTGAGCGAGCTTTATCCGCTTTTGTAGTTGGCAGGTTGGACCAAGCGTTAATTTGTTAAAAAATTGTTCAAAACGAGTTGAACACGATGTTGACCAGTTTTAGATCGAAAGCGACTTTTGTACGCTCTAATTTTTTTATTTCTCATTTTCTTTTCATTGAGAATGACAATTGAACTCTGACCCATCGTTGACGCGTTTCGTATTGAGAGCGAGTTTTATCCGCTTTTGTAATTAACATGTTAGGTAAATTATGAATTTGTTAAAACTGGGTCGACTCGGTCAAAGCGAGTTGACCGCAATGTTGACAATTTGGGGTCATGAGCGAGTTTTATCCGCTTTACTATTTTTTTTATCTTTTTCCTTTTGGTTGAGAATGACAATTGAATCCAAAGTAACGCATGGGTATACAACCTAAGTCGACCCCACCAAAGCGACTTGAACTCGATTTTATAGGTTTTCGGCGGGAGCGAGTTTTATTGTTTTTGTAATTGGCGTGTTGTGCCAGGTGTGGATTTTTCCAAAACTCGGTCCAACCAAGTCAAAGCGAGTTGAAACTGGTGTTTACGAGTTTTGAGTCGGTAGCGAGTTTTAATTTTAGTGTTTTTCATTTCACTTTTTCCTTTTGTTTGAGAAAGACAATTAAACTCAAATCCATGAGTATCCAACCTAATTTGACCCGATTAATGCGAGTTGAACCTCCTCAAACCTGCAATCAGTCCAAAATTTTCATAAAGGAGAACCACGATGACCTCAAATCCAAAAAAAAAAAAAAGCCATACAAATTGAAACATTAGCGTCATGAAAGAAGTTTAAGTGTAAATAATCTATTCGACTATCCCTCTTACCTTATGCAAGTTCATCGACCATATGCTATTGGAAATAACAAACCTATGAAAAGAATGATTAAGAATAAAATAAAATTACTTTCACTTTTGGGTCAACATTAAAACTATTACTTTTCAAAATATTTATATTTGTGATATGCGAAGCGATAGCGAACGGGCTTTTGTTAGTATATATATATCGGTAGTCCGAACAACCAAAACAATTGACTACAAAATGGAGTTATATTGGTAGTCCATGGTAGTCGGCAGTTATGATATTTTAGTTCCTTCTCTTAACAGAGCAACAAACTCTGCTGCTCAATAATAAAGAAAGATCAATGACGGCTAAAGGTGGCAATTAGGATCCAAATCCATGAATCCAATCCAATCCATTCACCAAATTATCCACTAAATCCAATCCATTTGATCCAAATCCAATTGGATTGATGGATTCATGGATCAATCCATGGATCCAAATGGCAAATTATGTTTTGGTACCTATATTTTTTATATTTTACATTTTGGTACCTAAAATTTATATTTTATACGAAAAAAATCATTGGAAAATTACATTTTGGTACCTAAAATTTTTCATTATGACATTTTAGTACCTAAACATTTCAAAATTTACATTTTGGTCCAAGTCTTGGATGTCATTTCGATTCATGGATCAATCCACCAATCCATTTGATCCAATCCATGAATCCACCAATCCATTGGATCCAATCCATTTGATCCATGGATCCACCAATCCAATCCATTAATCCACGAATCTGATCCAATTGCCACCTCTAATGACGGCGGAATAACAGGCAAAATGAATGTTAAGAGCGACAGAGAACTAAAATTAATCGAGGAGCATTATGAACTGAATCTTTGACCTAGTTGCTCCACCTACTAACGCTAGAATTACCTGGAACCGGTTGCAGTCGTTGCGAAGAGACACTATGCCCCTCCAACAAACTTCAGATTCAGTTTCTTCAATTCCAACAGTGAGGGCAGGCTCGAAGAGCGACGAGGACGATACAAAGGGAGGATATCCTTCCTTTGGCTACATTGGTCTTTTAGTTTCACAGAATGAATACGAGGAGGAATAAGGTGGTTTACTGGCATCGTAAACAAATGTAATCTACAAATATATTATAGCAGAGTTGGGGGCAGTTTTTCTGCATTTCGAATTTTCTGCAACGAGAGCGGAAGTAGAAATATTTATTTTTCATTCATAAGAAAAAAATAATCAATCCCAAGATTCGAACCATGGTCTTTCCAAACGAAGATAACAACCATTACCAGTTACACTACAGAAATGTTTTCAATGTTTTTAAATACAAAATCTGAAAACCTAAAATCTAAAAATTATATCACTTTTCCGCTATTGTTAGCTAGTCCACTAACTCTCCCGGAAATACTTCCTTTGTTATTTGATATTTTAATTATTTTAATTTGAGTTTAATAGTAAATTTAATTTATGCCCTATTATAAATGGAGAATAATTTTAAAATTTCAACCCAAATATCATTGATTCGAATATTGTATATTGAATTGCAGTATTGAATGTGTAAATGTGATGTAGAATTCATTAATTGGTATTAATTTTTAGAACTATTGAAGCAACGATATTGTTATGCAAATTGTAAGTGACCAGTTTTTTGAAAGTTTTAGTTTGGTTAATCGTTAAATCCTAAATTTCTTGATAATATGGCATGACTCAAAAAATGGGTGAGTTTAAAAGAACACAATTTATGAATGCCAATTTTTATAGAAGATTCCAATAGGGTAATTGACTAGATTTATCATTCATAGTTACTTAGATTTAATATGAAATAATGCAGTACAAGACAAATCACGAAAGTCGGGTTGGAGTTTTCAAGACTGTAGGATGTTTGAATACATGATAGTAAAAGTATATTAACTGTCATTTACGACTTTTAACATTATGTACCACAAGATACTACCCCGTACTAGGGTGGTATTGTGTGATATTTTTTTGTACTGTATTTTGTTCACCCAGAAATTTGTAGATCCAATAGATCATGATTAACTCGTTCTTGCTGTGAAAAATTTTCAAAAACGAATTAAAAACAAACAAGATAACAAATGGTATGCAGTTGGTAGCGAGAGGCACGAAATTTTTTTTCTAAAAAAAATATTAAAAATGGATCTCATTTGTATAGCACAACGAACTCGTTCCATCTATGCAAAAAAAAACTGAAATCCAAATAAAACGAAAAAGATATAAGTCGATTAAGAAAACAAGGAAAAAATAAAAATGTCTTTAGTTTTCCACCCTTAGATCTGGATTTTCTGAATAAAAGGCCCATATTTAGTTAATAATGGGTACATAACTCATGATTATGCACCGTATCTTGAGCCATTTTTACATCACTTGAGATAATTAATAAAGTCTATGTTCATTGATCACATAGGTTAACTTATATGTATCTCATTGTATTTTCAGATAAAATATTTCTGTAGCATCATATATAATAGCATTCATGAACTATCATTCTTAGATAATGGTACCAGATCTCTACAACAATTCCTAATCGTAACCCCACCATCAATCTTTTGTTAATTTGTTATGCAAGTGGGTATCACATTGTTGACTGAACTTTGACTAATAACCTTATCTTTGTAAAGTCAACTTAGAATGATCATTCTACTTCCCACTTAATTCATGATTTACAGATTAAAAATAAATCACCATATATAGAAAATGGCATTCGTGTTGGTCAACCAAATTTGCATATGTATATGAAGAAAAAAAAAAGAAACGTATCTACTGGAAAATAGTCAATGCATAGTGGTTATTCATTAAGTTTTCAATCTATAGATTATCAAATTTTGTGTTGGTCGCAGGGTTGTTTAGTAAAATTTAATGTGTGTAATGTCTAATGTTTTCAAATATTTTACCATTAAGGATTGGCTTCTAATGAAAAAATAAGTAGGAATAGCCTATTGTGAATAAAAATGATTACGTTAAAGAATACAAAGACATTGGTATTGGCAGAGATGATGGTGCTTTAGAAGGCCAAGGCAGAGCGATCACAAGAAATTCAAAATAATTTTTGAAATAATTATTGGCATCGAGTAGCAAATAATGTAACGTCTAATTAAATTTTTAGAAGTCAATTTCCTTGCATGAATTTGGTTTTTTTTACTTTGAGTAAGGACTTTGGTCAATAAATCGGGTCAGCATTTTGAAAATTATATGAGTATGATATTTCCAATAACTAAATGATTTATAAATTTAATGGTATGAAATAAAACATGTCTTGCTTCGAATAATTACTAAAGTTATTTATACTATTAACGAAATTCATCCCGCCGCCAACCCAGCCTAACCTAGTAAACCAATAGATAATTTGATCGTCCTGGAGCAACCTTATTGACATATTTGCCAAATCTTTGGTATATGATGTCTTTAATTGACCATGTAAGAGAAAAATGCATTGGCTATGGCTGTTCAGTAATCACCAAATGTGCAGCAGTCATTTAGACGTGTTAGTTGTTACAGATGGAGACAGAGTACTTGTTTTTGTTCTTTATTTGACAATCATACTTCTCCTGAAGAGAAACGCCTGCTCTCTAATATCGGCTAATGGCATAATCGACAAAGTAATTGAACGAGGGGAAGGAAGGAGTCAGCCAATGAACACCACAGTGGAAGACGACAGCTACCTGCAAAAGAGCGGGATGAACAAGGGAATTCATTAAATAAATAAATAAATAAATAAGCATTTTAATCGGCTAAGGCTCCCTCCCTGGACAATCCAAAGTGACACAATTGTACTCCATATAGAAGAAACTCTCACTTTCATCCAAACCTCTGCCCCACGGAAGCTATGGAAGAAGGCGATGAATGTCACCGCCGAAGAGATCGGACGGTGAGGTCGGAGATGAAGGAGCTGATCAAAACGAAGGCGGAATTGGATCGAGCGAGGGACGAAGCGACGCAATCCTGGCTTGATTCGAAACCGCTGATCGACGAGCTCGAGAAGGTGCAGTCCGAATTGGACGCCGCCAAGAACAGGGGATCGGCAGCGAGGGCGGCGATCTCGGAATTGAAATCGGAGCTGGAGGCGACACACCTGCGGGTGAGGTCGAAGATGGAGGGCGAGGTGAAGGCGATGAAGGCGACGAACGAATTGACCCTGGCCGTCGACCAGACCTGCAAGGATCTGGAGGTGATCAAGATGGAGGCCGATGAGCAGCGGAGGGAGAGGATGAAGTTGAAGCAGGTCCTCCGGGTGCGGCGGCAGAGCCTCCGCGCGCTTCAATTGAAGCTCCGTGCTGTGCGGATCGAGGCCGAGGCGTTCGCGAGTTCGGCGGAGGACGCGGCGGCGGTTATCGCGCTGTCGACGGAGACGGAGTACGGGACCGTAGAAATGACGGCGGAGGAATACGACGAGCTGATAAGGAGGGCCCAGGAGGAGACGGCGCTGTGCCGGTGGAGAGTCTCCGTTTCGGTGGAGCAGAAGCTCGCGGCGGAGGCCAGCCGGAACGTCGCTCTGGCGAAGTTGAAGCAGGTGTACAGCAATTCGAGTAATTTTAATAAGGCAAACGGACGGAAGAGCGGGCGGCGGTCGAATACGGCGGAGTGGGAGGATGGGGAAGAGGAGGATGCGATTGTGGAAGACGGGGAGGATTTGGCGGCGGCATCGGGGAAGAAAGGAGCGAGGGAGGATATGACGGAAGAGGAGGCGGCGGCGGCGGGAGATTCGAGCGGCAGAGTTGGAGGATGGATTGTGATTCCGAAAGCTAGGGCTCGGGCTATGGCAGCGGAATCGGATCGCAGGAGGCTGCCGCGACCTCCGGCGGCGAGGAGATCGTTGAGTCAGGGCAGTAACGGGAGGAAGAGAATGGTGAAGAAGAGAAGCAAGCCGTCGATTTTCGCGAAGCTTTCGAGTTTCATACGGGGAATTAAGAAATGGTTCCGCTGATTCTGAGTTTTGGGTGATTTCCATTCGGATAATAATAATTATATTATTATTATTATTATTATAATACAAGGATACGACTCGTATGCTCCATACACATAGTATGCTTCAGATTTTCATACCGTAGATCTAATCTTACGATTATTATTTATTATAATAAAAGTACTTAATTATTAATAATTATAATTACTGATTGAACTCCTTTAATAAGTATACGTGCATATTAATCACTCAACTATGTTTGTCATCATAAATGATATTAGAATACCTTATTTCTTGTAATCATACGTTTATTATAATACCGTATACGCAGTCGTCATCATTATAGAATCCCAAACCCCCATTTCACCAGATCATCACACGAAAGCTACCTTCCTCAACAACTTCATCGAAGCCCATCCTTGTACCAAGCCACATCCCGCCAACACCTTCAATCCTTCATCATTAAAACACAGTAGCCATTAGCCACTAATAACACCATCATAACTAAAAAGGGAACAAAACTGCATTGGTAAAATCGGTTCCAAGATTTTCGGGATAGTATAGCGTTCTCGACCGCCATAGCCTCCCACTCCAGCAAATCAAGCTTTGCCTTACCGTTAAGCTCCATCGTCGACGGTTCCCTCGTGGCACTACGTTCCCGACCCCAATAACAATGCCTCCGTCGGGTAATAGGGACGGTAGGAATCAATTACATGAATTAGATTCTTAATTTGGTATTTTATCTCTTCTTGCCCCCCTTTCATCTTCTTCTTGCTCCAGCTCTATTGTTCATCAACTGCAGGAAATAGAGAGAGAGAGGAGACGTACGTTTTGATTATTTATTAGCTTGTGGGTCTTTGGCACAATTTTTTAGACACAAAGCTCTTTATTTTATTTTTCTTTATGGGCAAATAAAGCTCCCTTTTACTAACTTCGGGGTCGTTTGGAAGTTGCGATTGTTTTGTTGAGATTGTCATTATGCATGTATTGTTTACAATGCATCGTTTTTTTGTTTTTTTAGCAGAAACAATACATGGATTGTTTCTATGATGTGACAGAAACTATCACTCATTTTGAGTGATTGTTATATCTCAACTTTTAGTTGTGATTGTTGAGATAGTTAAGTTGAGATTGTTTTGTCTCAGCTTTTAGCTGATGTGACATACACAATCACACATACCAAACGTTGTATTCTACAATGCATCAAATTCGACAATACATGTATAATATTATACATGCATTCTCAACAATACATCTATTTAACAATCGCAACTTCCAAACGCCCCTAACTTCATTATATAACTCAGTTCTAAAACATCATGACCAGAGGGGAAGAGGTAGAGGAAGACGACGAGTAGCATCTGCGGACTGCGATGAAGGAGTTTGATGGGCCAGAAACCTATATTGGGCTTGGCACACACATTTTCCCATAAGCTATTAATCGGGGCGTGTACATGTATGGGCTTAAGTAATTACGGCTAGAATAGATCACAAGTTAAAATAATTTAAACCAGCCCAATATATAAACAATTCTGGTATCGGTATATCCTCGATCGATAGAAGTTGCACATATTGCCATAACTTGAATACAAACTATTTATCATTGACTAGAATCATGAGTCTGGCTATAACTTTCTCCTTTGGATATCGTTTGTAACATTTTCTTTTCTAGGTTGCAGGGGCGGAGTTACCTTATATTCGAGGTGGGCCCTAGCCCCCTCGAGAATGGTCTCAATCCCTGGATCTTAAGTATATTTAGTAAAATATTTAAATAAGAATCGGCCAGACATAGTATGATAATATGTCATTGTAGTCTAGGGTTGTTAATGAACCAAGCCGCTCATGAACGACTCGGCGTCCGATTTGAGAAAAACTCGTTCGACACTCGATTCGTCTTAATCGAGGCGGCTTGCAAACAACCTCGTTGTCTAAACGAGCCGAACTCGAGCCATACCATGTTCAGCTCGAAAGCTCGCGAACAAGCTCATTTAATGGTTTGACATAAAAAAAGGATTCGAATTCATGGATTTTATGTATTGAAATTGGGATAAATATTGTGTTTTACTTTGATAGACTTTGCTACAGGTTTGAATATAATTTTGTGCTCAGTTTTAGGTCAATCTTGAGCTATCATGAACATTTTATGAGTTGAACTCGATTTTGGGCTCATAAACTTATTTGACGAGTCGAGCTCGAGCTTTCATTTTCATAAACGAGCCGAGCTCGAGCTTGCATATTAAAGCTCGTGAGTCGTGACGAACACGAGCCGAGCTCGAGCCTGGAAGTATATTAACGAGTCGAGCCCGAACTATGGCAAAGCTCTGCTCGATTCGGCTGATTAACAGCCCTATTGTAGTCTAATAGTAAGCAAACTTGGTTTTTATATTTGAGGACGTGGAATCGAATCCCAACTAATTGAACTTTTGCCCACTTTTCTACAATGCCCTAGCATAAACGGAAAAACCCTTCCCTTCGCAAAACTAAAAAAACTAACATTAAAATAGATATACCCTAAATATGTATTAACTTAAAGAATACCTTTAAACTAATTATAAATTTTCTTTTCCGGCCCACCAAGTCTTGAAATCCTGGCCCGTCCCTGCCAGGTTGAATTAGGTTAGGGCGTCTAGAGAAGGTAATATACATACCTTCTCAATCTATGTAACATGTGTATTCTTTACTTTCTTGTATTGACGATTCCCCAATTTGTTCTAACATCACCATTGTCTGTGACTCGGTCTATACATATTAACTTCCCTACTCGTCACACCATTGTTGTATTTTTGCGTTCATGTGCATGAGGGGTGGTTTGCTAACATGCTTGACTCCTTTGAATTTGAGTCTTCGATCATACTTGAAAATTATTTACTATTTCGACCGAAACTATGATTTTGTTGACAATACTATAGCAGGTAAATTGCAAGGTTGGTCATTGGGATTACTAAAAAAGTTAATGTATATTTACTAGAAATATTTAATTCCATTAGTGATCACTAAGATTAGTTAAACAATTCAATTTGGTCACTCTCTGCTATCTTCCGTTAGTCTCCATTAACAACATCATTTTTTTGCTGACGTGGCTAACAAAACTGACAAGTCAGCCAAATTTGGCACACCACATCATAAAACCGAACTCGACACATCAATAACCCTAACTTGCAACCCAACCCTTTCTTTTTTACTACGAATATGTATGAGTAAGGAGAAACTATTTCTAGATAACGTAAAGAGCAACCGTGAGGCAAAGAGGAAGGAAAAGAATAATCATCATGTGGTGGGGTGCACAAGTAACTATTTCAGTATCTACACATATTTCTCATCTTTTGACATCTCTAACATTATTTTTATTCCAAATAAATTGTGCAGCTCTATGTTTTAATTATTTAGACTCAAGTATTCATTTTACTATATTTATAATTCATTTATGAAGTATTTTCTCTATGTGTTATTAATAGAGTTAAATTTCAACCATCTTTTTAGATAACATATAAGAGTACGTCAAACTGTCCCGCGGGAATATAATCCGGCCTGTCCTGCACTTAATTCAGAGTGAGTGAGGTACCCCGTTTGGCTTCAACCTTAACAGTAGCTAAACGACTAGTCTTCAACCTATATGTCCTAAGTTCGAATGTCTTAAGTTCAACCTGTATGATAGTAACCCCATAGATTCGTAACCAAACCCATGTTACAATTTGTACCCAGTTTCATACCCCAAACATATTGAATAGGAATAACATATTAGCATTTTTTGTAGCTTATAAGGAATAACGTCTTCAACTTCGTTCGGTAAATGTTTACTCAAATGTATTTACCTGATCCAACATGATCACAAACAAATCGTAAGAGCTAATTTTCTTGAGTAATTTGAATTTTCTATTTAAAAAACCAAAGTATATTGGTCGGATGATTAAACCGACTAAATCTAAACCACCCGACTATCAAAGTTGGGGTGAAATTGGAATGAAGTAATTAGTAATTACATTTAAGATTCCCTCCAAATTTCCGTTCCAAGCGGAAAGGAGAAAAAATTGAATATTTTTTAATTTCACTCTTCCATTTTCACAAAACCATTTGTTTTATCCGCAAAAATTTTGTTCCTATCACGAGAAGCCGCCCATCATCACATTTGTTATAACCTGGAGTGCTCCCAACCCATAGTCAACCCACTTTTCCTAATCAAATACACTTGGTCTTCGAGGCCCAGCTCGGCGAAGGTGTTCCCTCTTGAAGGTACAACAGAGTTATTCAAAGTTGGATATTGTTGGAAGATAACTTGGAGCTATGAAGAGGAGCTGGGATATCAGGAATCCTAATTGCAGCAGGGTTGGAAGTCTGGCGCCAAGGGAGATTCAAATAAAGAAAACGGTGTCGTTTAGTAAGTGCCTGTTTGAGTCAGTGTGATACGCAGCCGTTTGGTTTAGTTTACACTGAGTCCTTGAGTCTTGTTTTGTTACGTTTGAGTCAAGAATTCGTGTTTTAGTTGTTGAGAGCTTTTAGCTCAAGTAGTTAGCAGAATAGTTAGTCATGGTTGCTGGAATCAAGGATAGAGGGGTTAGATATGTTGTTAGTTGCCGATTGTGGTGGCTGGCTCCTTGTATTTAAACTCTATTTCTATTAATCAATAAAACTCGTTAGTTTGATTCCCATCAGAGTCTACATTGTGGTATCAAAGCCTCTAGTGCAAACTGTAACCTGAGTTCTAAGCAATTAAGAGTGAGAAATCTGCGGAGGGGCTGCAGAAAGGTTATTGGGAAACACGAGAGATTTGGTGAGGATAACCAAATTAAGAGTGAGTGACAAGCAAAGTGCAGTGAGAAAAGATGAGTGACAACAATGGTTTTGCACAGGTTGGCATACCAAAGTTTGATGGAGACTATGAGCACTGGAGTCTCCTGATGGAGAATCTTCTCAGATCTAAGGAATACTGGGGCGTGGTGACTGAAGGCATTCCAGAACCCTCAACAAGAGCTGCTGTGTCGGCTGAAGAGTCCAAAACCTTGCAGGATCTAAAGCTGAAAGAC